TAATTTGAATGTTTCGAGTATTTGGATAATATAGATTTTCTTATACCACCAAATAAACGCATATCTTGCATACAATTGCTACTATATGTTTACGTGATTGGCGGATGAATCGACCAATGTAGTCAAATTGCGCTTTAAAGTTTAAAATATTACGCTTTTACACTTACAGGTCACCAAAACGCTACTAGGTAGAATCGTGATTTTCCCTTATAAGTGTAGTCAAAACCTACGCTTTAAAACTTATAATCTTACTTTATACGCTTTTAAGTCAACACAACACTTCTATGTAGAATTGCGATTTTGACTGCATTGAATCCGGTCAACGGGCCGGGCCTATTATTAGTATAGAGTTAATGAGGTTCCGGAGGAGAACCTCCATATAGTATTTTTAGGATTAGGATAGGATAGGATGGTGTTACATAAATTTCCCATAGTATCTGGGCTAATAATAGAATTAAGTAACGGAAAGAATCATATGGTTAATTAAGCTACAATGAAAAAGTTAATTTACCTTATAGGATCTTTGCGTAGCAGATTGATAAGAAGATGAAAAAGTAGATTATAAACTTAATGTATTTGTAATTCGTAAATCTTTCATGAAAAAGTTATCGGTTAGGTAAAATTATACTTATGTTGAAATTGAAATTCAAGTTGTTCCTCAATTCTACAATGGCATATCGCATATCTACTATTCCCAAAAACCACAAATTCAACAATCATAAGTGAAGTTTTTATTATCCCGACAGTTTTGTAAGTATGAGTTACTCATACACAGAACAAAATTTGAAAATTTCAATTTGAGAATGCCCATAAATATAAATTCAAGTTGAACCACCTACCTTCACCATCTATCTACTAATAGAGGGGGTGAGCAAGATTGTCGGTATGTGGGTTGACCTGTTGGTTGACCCGGTTTGATCTAGATCAGGTGAGAAAAAATGAGTGCCACACACCGCAGGTCGACTCGTAACAAGGTTTTCAAGTTGGAGGTCACACAACGTCATTTTTCTACTCGTGATACAATATTATTAGTTTTTCATATATCCGGGCTCAATCGTACATAATTTATAAATTTTATATTTCAGTAATCATATGTTAAATGAGATTTGATATAATTTATAAATATATGAATAATATAATAATTTTTTCATATATATGAACTAAACTGAACTAAATCGATCGAACTAGTAACCCTCGACCCACTTACTCGATCGGACCAAGGGATCGCTTGGATCGCTTGCTATGATATAAAGGAATTTAAAGGCAATCAATGGTCAGGTTTTTCCAGCCCAACGTAGTGAATTCAGCTTTATCTAAAAATATCTACATGTGATTATAGGTGTCAAAACATAGCCCGATCCGATTAACCCGCCCGATCAACCCGACCCGCAACCCGACCGCAACCTGAATTGACTAAAAGTCAACAACCCGTAACCCGCCCGACCCGCAACCCGATTGACCCGCAACCCAACTAACCCGCAACCCGATTAACCCGAACCCGATTGACCCGCAACCCGACTGACCCGCGACCCGATTAACCCGAACCCGATTGACCCGAACCTGACTAACCCGTAACCCGACCGACTCAACCCGAATTTCATCTAATCCACTTGAATAATTATAAAATGATTCAATACATAGTTTTTCAAAAAAAAGTTTTTCATTCTAAACTTAAGTAAAATTATTTTTTCATTTCGTATAGGAAATTTAAAAAATATGAAACTCACTTGATATTACGTATTTTAAGAAAATTACAAAAATTGAAACATGAAGGTCACTTGAGATCATGACAATATTAATATAATATATAAATTAAAATTTTGGTTAATTTAACTATTCAATAAAATTATCAATTAAATATAAATAAAGTAAAGTAATGTATTTGGTAATTTGATGTTTTTAAATGAAGAGGGAAATTTTGGTGTATTCAAGTTTTTGGGAAGAGAAAGAAGAGGGAAATTTGGTTCTTTGAATTTTTTAGAAAAGAAACAAGTGGGAATTTTGGTGGTTTTGATATGTGGGAAGAGAAAGAAGTGGGAAAATTTGATTCTTTTGATTATGAAAGAGAAATAAGGAGGGAAACTTTTGAGTTTTCAACTTTTTGTAGAAGGAAAGAAGAGGGTAAGTTGGTTCTTTCAATTTTATGGAAGAGAAAGTGGAATGAAAATTGAGTTTTCTAATGTATGAAAGTAGAAAGAAGGAAGGAAATTTTAGTATTTTTGTGAAAAGAAAGAAGGAAACAAATTTGGTGTTTTCAATTTTTTGGTTTTTCATAATTTTAGCTTTTGAAATATGAATCTTTAATTTTTATATGGAGGGCATGACTAGTTAAAATTATTCTTATATGCTTTGAAGGATAATATATATATATATATATGTATGCAATTGTTTATGGGCTAATAAATAAATTAACCATTAGTTACAACAAGTTATACTAAACTTGATAAGTAATCTTTGATGGTTCGTTGTTTAGGATATAAAGTATATGGTTAGGGTATAGGGTATAAGGTACATGTGGTTTAGGGTGTATATGGTTATGGTATAGGATATTGATGGTTTTGACGATTCTAAGTTTTTTATTAACATATGTTCACTTGAAATCATTTGAAGTCTTTAACGGCAGGAGATCCCTTTTTAATTTATGTTTATGGTATGTGCTTAGGGTACAAGGTATGTGGTGTAAAGTATAAGATATATGGTTAGGGTATAACAATTAGCAAATATCACTTTTTATCTATGTTTTGAAAATCAAGGTATGAATTTCACTTTTAAATTAACTATACTAGCAAAATCACAACTCAAAGACATATGGTTAGGGCATAGGGTATAGGTTATGTGGTTAGTGTATAATGTATTGATGGTTTAGGGTATACAATCAACAACATATACTAACTTAATATTGTTGATTGAGGGAAAGGCAAAGTGTATAGGATATATGCTATTGAGTAAGTTATGATTGAAGTAACAATAATTTTACTAAATTTGATAGCTAATCTTTAATGGTTCAATTTTTAGGATAATTCGAACAATTTTACAAATAACTTGTTTGGCAACAGTTTACGGGGTCGTTTGGATGGGTTAATTGTCATTATGGTATTTGTAGAGTCAAATAACTCATTTATTGTTCATGTGGTATTTCAGTGGTAATTGAAATAAAGTATCTCGTTTGGTTGAACCATGTAAATGTGGTATTTGACATGTGGTATTTGGTAAAAGCAGAGTGATAAAACGAATTATTTCGAAATAACACATGGGTATAAGTTATTTCAAATAACTCGTTTTGAGTTATTTGTAAATAATTCATTGTCCAAATAACTCATTTCAGTAAAACGCTGTCAAACGAGTTATTTGCGTCCAAATAACTCATTGTGAGTTATTTGAACCCAAATAACTCATACAAATACTCCATCCAAACGACCCCTAAAGTTATTTGGGCAATGAGTTATTTCGAAATAACTCCTTTTATCACTATGCTTTTGCCAAATACCACACACCAAATACCAGATTTGCATGGTTATACTAAACGAGATACTTTAATCAATTACTACTGAATTAATACTAAAATATCAAATAAACAATTAATGTTGTTTTTTGGTTGCAAATATTGATATCACCATTACTATTAGCTATAATACTTTACCAATTATGATTAATTGCATAACAAGTTTGCAAGTAATACAAATTGATTTAACATTTTGACTAGTTTTTTCAAAAAAATAAAGTATATATATACGAGGTAGAAATAAATTGGTTAAAAAGTTGAGAAAATATTTTAAATTAGTGTAATAAAATGTGTAAGTTGGTAATGAGTAATGAGTTAAGTTACTTGATGCGCTGGCCCGAACAACCCGAAATCCGATCCGCCCGCAACCCGCTCGACCCAAAACCCGATGAACCCGCAACCCGATTTGCACGCAACCCGATTGAACCCGAACCCGATGAACCCGCAACCCGACTAACCCGCAACCCGTTTGAACCCGAACCCGATGAACCCGCAACCCGACTAACCCGCAACCCATTTGAACCCGAACCCGATTGAACCCAACCCGAACCCGCCCGATTGACACCTATGCATGTGATCATAAAATTCTTTTGTGAACAGTAAATTCCGATCTTTTAAGGAACAGTAAATTCATTTTTTTGGTAATTTTTGAGGACTTTTGGTTTAATAATTCTAATTGTGTGTTGTTAATGGACTTAATTTTCCGTTGGAGGTCTAAACAAACAATACAATAAATTGTTTTTTGTTACATTACATATTTAGTGATCTGGGGGTTCCCATTTTCATAACCTATTAATTTGTTTTGAGATACCCAATCAACAATTAGACTAGCTGAAAATTCATTTGCCAATTAGCAGACACAACATATAGAAATAGATTGTCATTTAATTTGTTATCACATACTTTCTGGATTGATTAAAGTCTTACATGTTACTAACGACGATAATAAATTGACGATGTCTTCACCAAGTCTTTGCCAACATCTGTGTTTTCGGACTTATCTCTAGTCTAAATTTAGCAGTTGTTTGTATTTGCAATTATCTGCATAAATTTTGTCATTGCTTAAGCCGCTTGTTAATGCTTAAACGGCAAAATCAGTTTTTATTTATTTTAATATCAGCAGAAGGCCAAAATTAGTTGGAAAATGGAAAATGTCTTGTCCTGTTTCAGTCACACTCAAAACAAACTGGTATTGCTTATAACTACAGACACGGAAAGAAAGAGAGGGAGAGACTGCATTCGTTCCCCAGCCGAGTTAGTCTAATTGAACGAACCTCTCTATTCGCTTTGTGAAGATTCATTAGTCGAGGGGAAAAAAGCCTCTTTTCTGGCTCGCTGATGGCGGTAAACCTTCCTTTCTCATACTATTTGCTTTTCCTTTCTAGCTTATACTTCTTACTGTCAATCGCATGAATCTCTATCATTGCAATGGCGACTGGCTTTTGACTTTTCAAATCTTTCTTTCGCTCTCTGCCTACGTTCCGAAGATCCAACTGTGCTTTCGCCAATCGCCATAGCTTCAATACCCACTTAGGAAAATCCCTAGTTTCTATTAAAAGGGGCGACTCTCCCTTGATTCCCTAGCTAGCTAGATCTTTCCTCTGTGGTTACTAGCCGTCGTCAGTTTTGGTGGTTGACTAAACAGGATTTGTAGGAAATTGACAATCTTTGATTGGTTCATTCTCACTCAGCGGAGTTTGCCTTGTCAAGATGAGTTCAGTAATCTCTAGTAGATTGCTTATTAGGGGGTCGAATTGGAGTTAACTGCCTGAACTTCAACCTTTTAGGAGCTGCAAACATTTCCAGTTAAGTGTTATTGTGGACATTCATATTGAGAGGGGTAGAGCGTTGACCAGGTTTAAATTAACAAGAGATGGGAGCTTCGTTGCTTCTAAGCTGGCTTTCTTGAATGGCCCTTTTGTTTACATACACACGTTCATAAGGTTCGAAGTGGTTACGTTGTTGATTTAGTTCTATTGGTACCCGATTTGCATTATGCGGGCTCAGTTTGTTTGATGCTCTTTGTTGCCATAGGGACTGAATGATGCCCTTTATAGTGTTTTTTTTTTTTTTCGTTCTGCAACATTAGTTTTTTGTTAACTTTCATTGATGAATTTCCCTTTTGCTTGTTTATATCCAATCCATCTCAGGCATCAGCTGTTAAAGTCAGCAATGTTTCATTGGGAGCAACCGAGCAAGACATAAAGGAGTTCTTTTCTTTTTCTGGTGAAATTGATTGTATTGATATGCACAGGTTAGTTGATTTAAGAAGCTTTTGATAATCTTCCATTACTCAGTTGTTGCCATGGTTGGATATTCAGTGCAACTATTTATTCTTTGAATTCTGTACTTTTGGGCTTCCTTTCAGTGACACTGAGCGCTCTCAAATCGCATACATAAGATTCAAAGAATCCCAGGGGGCCGAGACTGCAAAATGTCTATCGGTGCGATGAATTTTACCCCTTACAGGAGATTGCATTTGTCCATATCTCAACCCCCTTTCCAGCTTTCTATTCTGTTTTTGAGTTTAGCCGAGCACTGTTGTTCTGCTACATTATTTGATGGTGGTGCCATGTCTATATACAGTTTTGAATAGAAGATTAATCAAGAAATGCATTATGCATATGCCTTTGTTTGAATATGCTGCCTCTTACAGCTCCTTCCTGTTTTCTTCCAGGGAGCAACAATAGTGGATCAGTCAGTTATCATAGAATTGGCTCCAGACCACCAGTTTCCTGTGACTGCTACAGTCTATTCTAACGTAATATCCCTTGCTAATTGGTTGCTTTTCTTTCATCCAAATGGAAGACTTCTTTAACTTTTGATGTTTTATCTCCCTAAAATCTTGGTGTTTCTTTTTGTTACTACTCAGCCAAACGAGAACAGCAATGGAAGTGGTGGAGCTGAATCTTCTTCAGCCATCCAGAAGGCGGAGGATGTAGTCAGCAGCATGCTGGCAAAGGGCTTCTGCCTGGGGAAAGACACAGTGAAAAAGGCCAAGGCCTTCGATGAGAAACATCAACTCACATCGACTGCATCGTCCAAGGTTGCTTCACTAGATCAGAAGATTGGTCTGAGTGGGAAAATCAGCGCGGGGACCACTGCTGTGAACGAGAAAGTGAAGGAGATGGACGAGAAGCTGAAGGTGTCGGAGGCAGCCAAGGCAGCATTCACAGCTGCCGAACAGTCGGTGAGCAATGCTGGATCGGCCATCATGAAGAACCGGTACGTGCTGACGGGAACCTCATGGGTTACTGGTGCATTTGGTCGGGTGACGAAAGTTGCAGGCGAGGTAGGACAGAAGACGAAGGAGAAAGTGGCGGCTGAGGAAGAAGGAGCTAATAAGGCTTCAGGTTACGTTCCCATTTCATGACTTGCGTGAGCCATATAGGTTGGTTGTTTTGGACTTGGGTTTGTACTGAAATCTTCGTGTCAGAAATGGATGTTCCAGTTGCTCGTGTTGTTGGTTAGGAATGATGATTGTGTTTTGCCATATATTATAGTCTCCAACATACAAAATATCAACTCAAGCAGGTTTCTCTTTCTGATACGCTTTGCGTTGGTCTGGTGGCATTTTCATGCAGCATTGTACAAGTTTGATGCTTGATTTAATTCAATATAGTTTCCACATGACTCGCACTTGCACATCTCGAATGTTTATGGCTTCTTTTAGGGCTAAATGACGGTTATTCAAATTACATAAATTTTTTTACGTTTACCACTTGAATTATTTTTTACTCGTTACTAACTTTACAATTCGTTTTACCATTAATCACCGGTCGTCAGATTTCATCAAATTTTGTTAATGTCGTCAGATTTTTTATGATATAACAAATGAGTGAGCTAAACCACAAGTTAAGCGCTGGCGTGGAATTGGTGGGAAAAATAACATTTTATCCCCATTTAGTCTCTACTCTTTACCATTTAGGAGGAAGAAAACATTGCCCACTAGTAAAAGCCATTCCCAATCTTTTTTTCGTTCTTTCTCTTTTATCTTCTTCATTTCCTCTATTAAAGGGCAGACAACACCAACACCTTTACCTTAGGGCTGGTAATCGGTCGGTATCCGGTATTCGGTATACCGGAAACTAGACAGTGTACCCATCGAATACCGATACCGAATGTTATCCGGTACACCGAATAGTCGGTATCCGGTATTAATACTAGTATACCGAATACCGGTTAATGCTAGATGCTACTATGCTGTTGCCTGCTGGTGAAGAGAAGAGAAGAGGGAGGAAGACAGGGGCTCTGCCTCAGGGTCAGGGGTTTCGCCTTTCGAGCTTGAGCTCAGCGAACCCTACCGTTGGCTTCAAGAAGCGGCGGCCAGCGGCTGCTGCCTGTTGAAGAGAAGAGGAAGACGAGGTGTGGATCGCGGCTGCTGGGTCTCGCCTTTCGGGATGGAGAGAAGGGAAGAGGAGGCTGCTGGAGGCGGCGGCGGGGAGCGCTGCTGGGGCAGGCGGGGCGGGCTGCTGGCGGCTGCTCAGAGGAAGACGAGAGGGAGGGAGGCTGTTGGGTCTCGAATTTTTTAGGGTTGCTTTGCTGTGTTGGGTTGCTGCGGCAGAGCCCCAAATTAACAAATTCAATCCGCCAAAACCCTTCAGTGCACCGCGTTTTACTTTTTTTTTTATAATCGGTATTATCGGTATACCGGTATACTGTCGGTAACTACCGACTCTTATCCGGTATTACCGAATATAAAATTACACGCCCGAATACCGATACCGACGGTATCCGGTATACCGAATACCGTCGGTATCCGGTACCGGATACCGGTTTACCGATTACCACCCCTACTTTACCTTATTCTTCCTTATCTGTCTTCTTCCTCCTCCTCTTCAATAACTTGTGCTCTTTGGAAGAAGGCTATATGAGCCATGGATAGCTCATGTTGTCGTTGTAGGTACCCAACAGATTTGAGGACTAGTTGAACAGATGCAAATTCAGGGCGGAGGTTCTATGTATGTAGCAAGTTTGAGGTAAGTTGAATCCCCTTCCTTTCATGCTTTTATGATCTTCTGTTTTGGTTTAGCTTCTGACCATTCCTCTCTCTCATTGTGCTTTGTTATGCATACAAACATAGCATGCAATTATTTTAGATGATATGAACCAGCTCTTGATGAGCATATGAGACATAGAAGATTTCTCAACAAGTTACTTTTTCCACGAGTTGAAGGAAATCGACTTCAATTCGGATAATGAAGGATTTTAACGACTTTAGGAGAAAAAGACTATAAACCACACTTTTATAACTAGTATAAATAAGAGGCTAGACTACAGGTTTGACAAACACATTTTACTAGCACTCTGCCCCTGGGGCACAAGTAGCAATCCATAGAGAGAGGAGGCAAAGCCCTGTTGGAGTTCGACGATGATGATTCACCATCGATGTTCTTCATCTTTTTTATGTCTTCCTACTATCATTTGTGTTGCTAGTCTATATATTTGAGGATGTGACTTAATGATGTTTATTTACTACACTCTATGATTTAATAAGATGTCTATTGTGTTCAATGATCTTATAATCGATGCTCGATTTGATTTATTCTTGTATCATCTATTGCTTGAGATTTTTTATGCTTGTTCTTTGTATGCTTTTGATTGTTGATGCTTATGATTCTATTATGTGTTACTATATTCATTGTTTATACTACTATCATGGGAGACAAGGAAACTAATCTCATATAGTTGGCATCAACCTTAGATGATGCTTGATCCTTAGATCACCGAAGCTATAGACCATAGATTATCGCTCAAGAGACCCACACTTAATCATGTGCTATCCTAACTTACTTGTTCTTCATCCATTAGGCAATTGCATGAAGTGAAAGCACGTGTTAGTTAATAAAATCTCTATTGCAAGATGCCCATGCACAGGTAGAGAGTGGCCTTAATGGAATGGATGTGGCATTTAGTATAAGACGAATTGAAGTATCAAGATAATGAGGATGAACGCATCATCATCTATAATCCTTACCTAAAAACCACTTTTTTGCTTGTATTTTTGTGGTTTGTATTAGTAGTATAGTAGTATTTCGACTTCATTCAAGGATATCTCATCCCACTTTGTTTTACTTTATGCATTCATTATTCAAACACATCTAGTTAGCTTTGAGAAGTGACTATCAAAAGAACTTATTTTATACAATCTTAAGCATCTGTTTACACCTAAAAAGCTGGAAACAACATCTTTAGGATTATCGTTTGTTTATACATCAAGCGCCTAGGGGAGAAGAGTGGGTGTGTGCTTGGTTTTGGATGACCGGAATTCGATGGAATTGTGAGAACTCGTCGGAGGCGTCGTTTTCCTGCGAGGATTTAGAGAATTTTGCCATCTGGGTTATGGTCACGATCGAAAGGGTTTCAGGGCCTCATATACTCACCTGATGGGGATTCTCATGGTTTTGGTGTAAAGTTCACGGATAGACCATGAGATAAACACGAAACCATGAGTCCAAGACTAAACGAGGAATTTTGGTTCAAACTTCACGACTATGTAAAATGTCACGGGCTAAGATCGTGCAAATATAGACAATCCGTGAGGTTTGTCATCGATAAGAAGCTCCATTTATCTTGTGGGCTAGTGAAAATGTCACTGCCTGGACTTCATGAACATTGCACTAAAACCGTGAACTTTACACAGTTTCATTATTTGGTCAACTTCAGGGACAGAGCCAACTTGTACTTTGTGTGTTGGGGGGGGGGGGGGGGATGCGCATGCCTCCCTAGCTTTAGAAATAACTAAAATCCTAAGTAGATGACAGACTAAGTTTGCGGTGGAGTTGTGGTCTGAAGGCTTAGCTAATTTTAGTTACGACTTACGAGGGGAAGGTTTCTTGTTCGAACCCTGCCTTTTAAAATTTAAACTCATTTAAATTATTGACACTTCTTCTCCTCTTTAAAATTTATAATCTCATTTTAGTTATTGGCATTTCTTCTCCACCTCAATCATCACAGTTGATGAGTGGTTACACGACCCAGCCGTTCGGCTCACAATTACTAATATTAAGCGTCTACATATTATTTATTGTCTCCACTTTTCCTTTTCTGAACCATGGTTTAGTATTATTTGTTGGCGGTCAACATATTAATATTTCAATAGACAAGGTTTAGTATTTTTTTCAAAGCATATAGCTAGTAGGCAAAGACAACTAAGATTAATAACGTGAACACGCGGTTCAGCGACAAAAAGAGGAAGGTGAAGCGGAAAGTGGGTAGCAGAGAGGATGTGGAAGAAGGGTCGGTGATCGAGGATAAGGACGGCAAGGCGGTGAGGTTGGGAGATTTGGTTTTTTTATTGTTCATGGTTGATGTGATGATAATTGAGATCTGAGAGGGAGAAACATAAAATATAATAGGTCATTTCGACTCTTTGTGAGGAAAGGGATAGAGTGCGACATCGCTTTTATGTTGTTGGGCGTTGGCTGATTAGTTGTCAATTTCACCGTTGAAGTGAAAATTATCATTCAGCCAAAACCCTCCAAACCAATAAATGAAACTGGCACTAAAATACATGCTTATAGGTTATTGGTTAGCCAAATAATAGGTTTGCTTGGTTTAATTTATTAATTACCGGATAACCGATTACCGATTATCAAACCTAGCTAGTTGGCACCATGCGGAAAGCGTTTTTATTTAGGGAATATTCTAAACATTAGTAACTTTATGAAAAATAAAACTAAAGTGGGAAAAGGTGAGAATTAACAAGGAAACAATTAATAGAGCAAAATTCAACTTTATTTATTCGTTAGATAAATGACCATATATATGAGATATGAAGGAAACTGCTTATTTATCTAGTTTAGAGGCCGGTCAGTTGCCATGGTCGTGTTTCCATTCGCAACATAATTGAATATTGTATTTACAACATTCACTAAGGATTCCGTAATCGAGCGCAGGAGATATTGGGTGGGTCACATGTGACGGTTTGATGATATCTTCAGTTGGAACTTCTTCGTAGCACTGCAAATACCACTAAACACAACTGCAATGGCCAAGAAAGCACAAATGACATGAACAACACTTCTTAGCAGACTTGTTGAAGCCATATTGTATTTCCTGTCACAGAAAATGTGTTGTTATCTCAACTCTTATTTTTTTCTTTCTTTCTTGGTTGTGTCTTTTAAACGAAAGAACTAATCCGGTATATATAGAGACAGAGCCACTACCTCATTCGATTAATCAATAAGAAAATCAAATCTGAAAATACATACATATAAGGAAATTTTTTAATTACATGAAAGAAAGGAATATGGTTAAATAAATATTAGATAATGATCTTATTCTTTTCCCTTTTAATAAACAAGCTTTAAATTACCTCCCTTATGAAAATAAAGAGATATATGGAAAATATAATTGCCCAAAATAAGGAAATATGTTTAAATAAATATTATATATAGCACGTTTGATTGGGTTTCCTTTTAAAACCAAACTTTAAATTTCCTCCTTAGACTACAAGGAGGGAATAGATACCGTGCTTAAGTTAAATATGACAAATAACTTTTTCTCAATTTAATTTAAATACCTTTTCGGTATTCGTAATTGAAAATGGTTTACACAGGAAAATTAGATTAATTGTACTCTTCAAAATAACATCCACTTCGATATATTTTGAAAAAAGGAGATATTTTTTATTCGATG